AAACATTAACTAAAATGTCTCTGGTTGAAAAAAATCGAATCACTCTACATTGGCATACTCTTTTAAATGATGTCTTATTAATGCTTATTAAATGAAATTAAATATTCACTATGGCTTCTGACTAGAGCTAATATGAGTAACACCAGAGTATAAATGTGAGATAACATCATTTGGTGCCGATTCTTCGATAATTTATGCACATTTTATTTGTTAAGCAATTATTTGTTGAGTGTTTATGTGTCACATATGGGGCAGCTATAAAGATTATTAGAATAGCTATTGTCCAAGGAGGGAAAGAGATACACAACTAATTGAACCTGGGATTAAAGCATCTGTGAAGAAACACGGAGAGGAATAACATACAAAACATTCCATAGGTTCCTGCTTTTACATTTTGCTACGGGTATATAAAAGTAAAACAAACAAATACAACTTTGTCTTAAGTTAAAGGTTTCTTAGCTATTGAAATTCTTCCTTCTCTTATTTAATGTTTCTGTACACATGGATAACCTGTTATGCTAATTATAAAGTTTTCTTTTTAACTGTAGAAATCTGTGACTGCGGAAGATGTGAGAGGGTTTCAGTTTCCCTGCTTTAGCTTTTGCCATCCTGACATCACACGGCAGGGTAAGCCCTTCCGCTGAGGTTTCTCCCACATCTCCCTAGGGCTACCAACGACTCTAGCACAAGCAGGAGTGTTAGCTGAAGGGCTAAGGGGGCCTTACGCTGGCCTCTCAACCAATTACTCTGTACTGAGAGAGCGACAGAAAGAGGAAAGCATTATCACTTAGGGAGAGTCGAGGAATTTGCCAGTATTTATACAACTTGGCTCAGCATGTGAGCCAATGCCAATACATGTATCTCTACTGCTTTTGTAGTCAGCATGACTTATTCAGACTTAACAAAATCACAATCTTTCCAGCCTTTACACCTGCCATTTCCTCAACATACTTCAGTTTCTGCTGTACTCACTCACTCATTCCCTTCTATTTTTTTCTAAAAAGCATCAATCATCTCAAGATGTGTACTTTTCCAAAAGGCCAGGAATACTCTTCCTCCCCTGTCCATTCTTTCTCTTTCAGCCTTGGAAATTCGGCTCAAGCACTACTCCCTGGCAAAGCCTTAGCTGATTTATTGTGCAGTTAATAATTTAGGTTACCAGGGATTTCTTTATGAATCTGATCATTTTCCAGTCTCCTGTTACTAGACTACAGGCTCTTGGGGAGTGGAAAATTTTGGTGTGTCGTTTCTGTTTCCATAGTAGCAATACAGTGTGCCAAGAAGATATCAATAATGGGTGAATCACCAATACTTTGCCCAGATTAAGCATTCAATAATCGTGTCACTGAAAATGATTTCAGTCTGGACTTGCTAACACCAGCAAGTCTGAAATGGAACTGGGAAGAAAAAGGCTGTGTTTTGACAGTCCACTGTCTTTTCGTTGGGAGTCTACTTGAAGCATAGTGAATCATTTATTACAGTTACAAATATCTGGATCCTAGGACCACTAGCACTTGTGCTAAATATCACTTTATTTCTTCATGAAGAAAACATGTGAAACATCTTTGAGATGATGCATAAATAACAAATTGAAGTTATCTCAAAATTGGCTCTTATTGTACTGTTTGCCCATATCCAAATAACCCAATGTGCTATTAATTATAAATATTTTGGGTTGTTCTGAAAATCAGCCACACACCCTGTTAATCAGCAATATATTTAAGTCATGTAAACTACATTAGCCACTGATACATGAAAACTTCAGAAATAAATGGACTTCTACAGGTGACCAAATACTACAGAGCACTTTCACTAATGTTATTTTTGATGTCTCTTAAAAGAATATAAATTCTTACTAAGAAGATTAAGGAATAAGGTACTTTTCTGGATAATTTATTTCATAAACATTATATAGTTTCAAGATTTAAAGTATTCTTAATGGCTATATTTCATATAATATTATGTAGTAAAATAAACACATTCTCACTTGGTGATTCAAGAACACTATTATCAATGCACACTTCCGTACTCTCCCTTGTCCTGGAATGCAGTGTACTGTCATGGGCTACAAACACACGGAAGGATGCTCGCCTTCAAACCGGGTGAATTGCAGCTGCTCTTCTGACTTCCTTCCTTCTCTCTGTTGTCACTGCTGGTGCTGACGCAAGTGTGATCTGTGTGCTCTGCTGTCTATTTCTTCAGGAAGCTTCCTGGGCGAGAGCCTATGAATGGTTTACTGCACCCGGAGAGCTAAGCACGTGGTCTCTGTGAGCACGTGGGTTTTGTGACTGCAATTTGCTACTTAGCAGTCCTTCCTTCCCGCATCATTGTTAAATCCATGAGGCCACTGAGTGCTTGGGCTCTAAGTAGTGCTGGCTTTGACATATACATCCATCCATCCGTGCTCTGCAGCTTCCACTCGATCATGACTAGTCTTACGACTAAGATAAATCCTAAGTTGTCAACTTACTGTTTAAATATAAATAAAAATTACGGTTCTGGACACAAATTTCAGATTTAATACAGGACATACTTCTGTGTTTGCATATTTCAGCTGCCGATCATTTTTTAGTTGTTGACTTTTTAAAAAAAACTTAAGATTTCATCATTTGCTTCTAGCACAGTGGTGGGCAAACTTGAAATTCCAAAGTACAGTTTAGCAGCCAGATTCGCGCGCAGCAGTAGCTCCAGCGCAATGGTGCTTTCTTCATCAGGAAGAAGAGGGAAAGAAAAACAATGGTTTCTTCTCCATTCATGAAAAATTTTAAAAATAGGCAGTAATGTATATTGAACAAAGAAACTTAATAAAAGACACTAAATCTTACATTAAAAAAACTTCTGTCATAGTTTGGTTGGAATATTAATCTAACAGTCTTCAAATTAAAATGAAAAATCTGAACGTCATTCTACAAGGATCTGTGATAAAACAAGAGGAAATCTTGCTCCTTAGGGTAGATGCAAAGTAAACATCCATTTTGGTTAACTCACATATGAACGCTAGCTCATAAAATATTAGCCTTAAGAAATTAGTTCTCTTTAAAAGGTCACCATGATGTAAAATTCAGGGCATGGTAATAAAGAAAGAGCACACTATATTAACTTGCCTGAGTTGAAAGAAAACTTTTTATTTTTTTTTACACAAATAGAAAAGTCTGCTTCTACTTCACAAGGATTTTCATTATACACAGAATTACCAACTCCACAAAGCAATTCAGGTGTAAAAACCAAGGATTTAATTTTATTTTATTTTAAATGCTTTTATTTATTTATTTTTAAAATAATCTTACTTAGTTGATTAGGGTACAAAGGGTCAAGGGTAATACCATTGTTTCCACACTAATATCATTTTTTCCCTGCGTCTGGGGTCAGGGGAGAAACAAAGGAAAAAGGCCCACCCAGCCTCCTGCCCATCCCAGGTCCCCCATGTGGGGCACGCTCTGAGGGTCCTGCTCAAGCAGTTTTGTTCAACAGGTCTGAATTGCTGCCAATCTCGACGTTCCACTCACAATGAAACCTATTCAGAATCCACTGGCTGACAGAGTCTCTTCATGGCTGGGGTTCTGAGATCAGCAGTTCAGTTGGAGTTATCCCCAAAGAAACTTCATCTGAGGTGATCTCAAACTTGATTCTTGTGTGTGCTTGCCAGTACAGGGTCTGGCACAGTCCATTGCCCCAATCAGCTTATGCACATGCTGGTCGGTGCAATTGCTGGGTCAGTTCTGTTTCCAGCCCTGTCTTCCACACAAGCCAGTTCGATCCTACCCACTTTATACTTGGTCCTCAAGCCAACCCCAGTGGGAGCTGCAGCTTAGTTGGGGCGACTCCCCATATCTCTCACCAGACCTGTCGCTACCCTGGTTCCCATGCATGCCAGTATGTACTGTAGGCTTGTTCAGTCTGTCCCACATCCCATTTAGCTTTCAAACATGTCAGTGGGCATTGAAGCCTAGTTCAACCTAACCAACCTACTATCCAGCCCACACACATACTGGAAGATGCCTTCCTGTCTAGTCAGCCCTGCCCCTGTCCTGAAAAACCAAAGATTTTAAATGAGTAGAAAGTAAGTATAATTCTTCTCTGATGACCAAATAGAAGAGATATTGAGAGGAAAAAAATGCAAGTTGCTCAGGGTTACATCAAAAAGGTCCAACTAGGCCTGCAACTGGTGGTTGGCCAATCACCGACAACCTTACATTTTGTCATTCTTTAGCATTACTGCTGATTTTCAGTGCTGCCTTTTTCTATGACATTTCTTGTATTTGTATAACACAGCTGGGGGCAGGCATTCTGCCTAGCAGTTGCAGCACCAGCAGGCTGCCCATGTATCACTTTGGATGCCTGGCTTTAATACTTGCTTCCGGTCCTGACTGTGCCTCCTGGTAATAGCAGTTACCAGCAATGGCTCAAGTAATTTGGTTTCCTACCACCTGTGAGGGAGTCCTGAACTGAGTCTCCGGGTGCTGACTTAACCCCAGCTGGGGGCCACCGTGAGCATTTGGTTAGAGAACCAGTGGGCAAGAGTACACCCTTTCTTGCCTCTCAAAAACACTTTTTAAAGTAAAATAAAATAAAAGATGGTTTAGACAAAGCTGAGCCAGGTGTCAGGACTGGAATTTACAACTGCCGATTCCGTGCAGATGGGCTCTGCAGCCTTCCCAGTGTGGTCACACCACTAAGATCCAGAAGTGAGAATAAAACAGAAGCACATCCGCACCCCCCTCCTGAGAGCATCTTTACCGAACTGTCACAGGCCTCAGCCAGAACCTGGGAAGAGAGTTTTCAGAAGATTCATGCAGTTTGGTTTGGAGGGATTTGAATTTAATGTATTAAAGTAATATATTTTGAAAATAACATTCCCTTAAATGTAATCAGTGTAATGATACCAAGACTAGTAGATATTAGCCACAGCTAATTTACAAAAGTTAGTAAACTCTTAAGCCAAAAGTGTCAATTTCTCAGGAGAAAAGTACAATGTGATCTTCGTGCGAAGAGCCACTTACTGGTACTTTGAAGGGGGAGGTAGTGGCAGCGTCCATGGAGCTGGGCTTCTCCGACGCGCTGGTGCCTGAGATACTCCGTCGGCGGGGGGACCTTTCTGCCGGCACCTCTGCGGAAGATGAGCAGAGTTGAAGCATCAGTAGGAACTGAAATTTGAGAGCTTGCACCAATTGGTAATGTTACTGACTTTTTACACAAACCTTGCTTTAAAGGTACTCCACATTCTCTCCAGCTAACTTCTCTCTATCTCTGTGGAGTTTCAGCTGCTCCAATGCTACAGACCCTTCGCCAAAGTTCAGAGCCTGCTTTGGTGTGAGAGCTTTCAACTTCACCTCTGTGCATAGCAAAAACTACTTTCCTCTAAGCTAAGTTTAATATTTCTAAGTTTACTTTATGTTTGCATCTCAGGGTAGGAATCTACTATTCTCCATTTGTTAGCATTGTAGCAATTAACAGAATCAAATGAAATTTCTAATATTCTTGTGGACAAAAATATCCTCTCATGTTGCACACAATTTGACGATTGGGTCAAAGTTGAATTCCATGCAGATGAGATGACTCACCAGGCTGCAAGCAAAGGGCCCTGAGTCGACTGTAAGCTGCTGCCAGGATAAAATAAAATATGTGCCTATGCAGATACAAAAATAGATCAGCGTCTCCTTGTTCAGGCAGTATGACCTTACGAAGATCTTACTCTAGAATCCTGTATCTATTCGAACTGATCTAACAAGCCTAGCATCTTACAGAAAACGTGAGCTCCGTCTTCATTACTATATGCTGTATTAAGAGTACATTTTAACATTTTCCATAGAGTGATAAATATACACACACTATATATATATATATATATATATATGCACACACACAGGCACAGAGAGATGATAAATACATACATATTATACCTTTATCACAACTGCTTCCCATCTCCACTTCAACTGACAGACACATAGGAATCCAGCTTCTCAGATAACATGAAATAATCTCAACATGGACAAGAAAAAAAATACATCCTAAAAAAAGTATTCTGTGTTATCTTCCACATCTTTAAAAACAGGGAGTAAATCGTGCCTCCGGAGCCTGACATTTCGATGCCTGCTGTTCTCCCTTTGAGACAGACGCAGCTGAAACGTCCACTTCTGGCCTCCTGGCCCTGGAGCCGTGCTACCTCCACTTCGGAGCAAGCATTTTTCCTCTCGCTCCCTCCCCGTCCCTTGCTCTTCCCCCTCCTTCTCTAAAGCTTGCGGGGAGAGCAAGCGAGAAACACACAGGACTGCAGCTATTCAATCAATTGTTCCCACTGCACATCCTCATTAGTTACTCTGAGGCTATTAACACACGCCCAGCCACTGTCTACCCTCCTTACAGAAAATCTCACTGTATTATACCAATCTGCAGCAAGAAAAAATACTTATTGAAATTTATATTCGGCTAGTGCCAAAAGGACACCATTTTACACAAATCAATCCTTCCTAGGAAAACTCAACTGGAAGTGCTTCCCTGTTACTGTCTGCGTGCCAGACCCTGTTCCCTTCCCATGACTAACCGTTTCTCTGTGACATCTTGACCAGTAAGATACAAGTCATATCACATTTCTTACGACTGAGAGCTGGACAATACTGTGTCTTACTCTCCTGCAGTACAAGAGTTCTATGATATTACTGCAGCTTAAGATGATGAGCAGTAACTCTAAGTCTCTCAACTTCTCTAACCATCGGTGGTGAAATGAGGCTTAATGTACAAAGCCATTTTCAGAATTAGGCACATCTGATTCTGAACGCACATGTCTGAGAAGCGGCAGTATAATTAGCTCAGAGTCATGAGAATGGCATAAAGCACCAAATTTAAGCAAACCAGCTTGTCAGGGCACACTGAACAGCAAGCCTGACAGGAAAAGATGACTTTACCGGGTGGCTATGGGATCAGGTGACGTTCTAGCAAGGGGACACAAGGCAGGGGCGAGGGGCTGGGGAAGGAAGAGGGAGAGCTTGCCCTCCTCTGCCAGTTACCTAGAAAGGCTCTGACACCTCCGATATTCAACTACCAGACGCAGGAGACTGAGTATTGCAGTATAGTATAGCTTATTGTTGAATAATTGATAGGAAAACGAAATTAGTAGAAAAATAAATTTCATTAGTTAGGTTAAAATGATCTAGTAAGCAGTGTCCTTAATTTGCCATGATCCAAGTAAGAATACTGAAATTTATTTCCACACTTTCTTCTAAACATCTATATTTAGTTTTCAGGCATACGAACTCATTACATAAATTTAATTCCAAGTTTTTAACTACTTGAAGTTACAGTGGCTAACATGAATGACCATATTGCAAGCTCCGATAAATATGGCATTTATTATAAATTTGTCTTTCTGATACTTTTTGCATCATGAAAAAAGTCACACACATTTATAGAATGTTGCTGGATCCAGAAAGAAGAAATGAAATTATTCTTTAAGTCTGAACAACTGTGACTAAAGAGGGAAAAGAAAGAAATTACGTAGAGGAAATCAACCAAAAAAAGAAAAAAAAGGAAGTACTTCACTCTAGATTGCTATCCTGGCCTCCTCTGACAAAGCAATCTGGAGACGACGGCTTCCACACAGCCCGCACTACAGTCTCACATTCCACTCCAAGAACGAAGGGGTGAGCCTGACCGAGAGCAGAATGAACCACTGCCACGCTGCTTAATGGCGGGTCTACCTTCCACTTCACATCAGCAGACAGGAAAGGAAGCTAGGACTCTGCCCTCACAACTACATTTCTCCTGGACTGGGAGGAGAATCTACACTGTTTGTAGTGGACCAAAACCAGACAGCAGTTTCCCCTGCCGTTGCTTGTGCTCCATACTGCTCTATTATTTTCACCTGCTATAATTTTAATATTCCTTTTGTATTCGTAATGTGTAATTACAGTCATTTCTACAAGTGTTCCCTCAGAGATTGAGGCAAGAGACACACAATCCTGTTTTTGTGGACACAGTCCTGGAGCTGCTTCATTCACCTTCTCTTCTTCTAAAACTATATTTCATCATCAGCTTGGAAGACAAAAAAAAAGTTATTAAAAGCCTCGTTTAGTTTTAAATTTATCTCTTCATTTCCTTTGTCATGAGTATGAACTGAAATGACACGACTTGTAATTATGAGAGATAATCTCCAACACAGCTAGACTTTGGATGAAATATTGAACAAAGAGAACATTTAGTGCTTTTCTTAGAAGCTCTATCTGATTCTGTGTAAGTCATTCCACCTTTCCTGCCTTGGTCTCCATCATTTAATAAAATCTGAGTGATTCAGTTCAACCAAAGAGGAATACAGGACTAATGAGGTTGAGTATACGGAAGCCAACTTAGCTTCCTGCAAGAACGAGGCTCTCACAGTCCCAAGCATACTACTACCTGCCCGTCACTGCCTCAACAAACTCATCTTCCTCTCTGGCTCTGTGTCCTCTCCGTAAGGAATGGCCAAGAGCCTGACGGCTGGGGAATTCTAGAAGCACAGGTTCCTTTCATGGAGGATGTGCCCGTTACACAGACGGGAGTCCACTTCAGCCACAGAGCCTACTGGGACATTCACGGCCTCTAGCTCACTTTTAGGAAAGCAGATGTGTAAGAAAAAAAAGCCCAGATTTTTTTTTGTAAGGAAAGGAAATAATTATGAATTTGGCAGCACCTTACCAAGTGGTTTTCTGAGAAACAGTGGATTCTAAATGATTATTTTTTCTTTTAGTATTTTTGAATTTGGTGAAATTTTACAATAAAAATGTGCTTATGTATTTTTCTTTGAAAAAGCAGGCTGCTTTTTTTTTTTTAAAGAGCACAGATTCTCATTCTCAAATGTGCCTTGCATGACAACAACTGTTTAAAGAGCTAGAAGTAATCGGTTTTGTTTTTAGCCTCTTTCCCCACAGACAACCGGTGATAAATCAAGGCATTTTGTTTGTTTCATTACTGACGCATGAAGCTATCCTGATGCTCTACCTGCCCTGGCAAGGCTCTTCCTGACTCACACACACTGTGCCTTTTTATACATACACACACATATATTCCTAATATTTTTAAAAATAGCATATATGGTACCCTAAAAAGTTTGCAGAAAAAGCAGAAGCTTATTTTAGTGCAAAAATGTGAAATCCATGTAAAATTTTTCATAACATGCATTTCTCACAAACTTCTTAAAGTACCCTATATTTGTTACATTTCAAGACTTGAGCATAGCCATCTGAGGGAAGAGTGCTCATTGCAGGGTTTTTTTTGTTTTGTTTTGTTATTTATTATTTATTTTCATCTACTTGAAAGGCAGCGTGACAGAGCAAATCGAGAAAGCCCTCCTATGCACTGGTTCGATCCATAAATGCCCACAAAGTCAGGACCAGGCAAGGGCAAAGCCAAGCGCCCCACCGAGGTCCTCCGTGTGGACGGCTAGGACACCAGCATTTGAGGGATCGTCTGCTGCCTCCAGGCTGCCCTGGCAGGAAGCTGAGCGGCCCGGATGCAAACTGACACCTTGATATGGCACATGAGCATAGCACGGCTATAGTATGCATTAGATGCTTCAGTGTAGGAATTTTGTAGATACTTCGGTGAAGGAATTTAGTATATACTTCTGAAATTCTGTTACTGTCCAATGATCTCCTATGAAATCACATTTCTTGGCTAATGAAAACTAGCATGTATATACAGGTGCATACAAGTGTACTTACATTATGTAAGAATTCATTAATGCACCTGATCTTTACTGTCTACTGTGTGTTCAGATAAACAAACAAACAGGGATATGTCTCTCTGTGAACCTGAGTTATGACATACATCGCTGTCCAATTGGCAGGAAGCAAAAAGCCGCAAGGGAGGTAAGTACTTAACAGTAACTGTATTGAATTGCTGCTTATGTAGCTCCACGTTGAACCCTATGTGTTTCTGCGAGTTGGAGTTGAATACATCCTAAAGTTTCCCAATGACAGTTCCTCTTCCTTTAAGAAGGTGTACCACTTAGCAATGCTGACCACCAAATACCAGTTCATGCTAAAGCTTTGGCATGTGTCTTGTCCAGTAGACACACTAACTGGATTAAGGCTACCGCCAAGGAGCACGTGGGCTGGAAGGGGGGCTGTGTTCTGA